CAGTGACAGGATAGTGAAGCTCCATGCTGCTGGCTTTAGAGCAAGGCAAAATGTCAGAGGCCCCCTGCTCACACCTCCTAGACGTCACACCCGACTGGCTGGGGCCAGACAAAGGCCGCGATGGACTTGTCAGCAGTGGCATCAGGTCCTCTTCATGGATGAGTCACTCTTCAGCCTGTTTCACGCAGACGGGAGGGTCAGAATGTGGAGGAGGAGGTGTTGCATTTCTTTTTTCCATCAGTATATTTATAAAGGAGATATCACTTATTTTTCCAACTGTTTTGCCATTGATTCTCATTTTAAAGCTTTTATTTTTTATCTATTGTCTACCATTGTGTTTGTAAAGACAACTGACATTTCCATGTATTCTTTTGTTCATAACTGAATAGTTCAGTAGACAATTCCCTTTCATTTTTATAACACAAAATTGTGAATAAGAGCAAGACAAAGTCTGGGATGAATTGGCAACTCATCCAGTGAGAGAGCAGTCATGAGCCCTTAATCCTGCTTTGTACCCTATGCTTCCTGGAAGGGCTTTGGGCACTCTCACCAGGACACGTGGCTTAATGAAAATGGATTTGTAGATGGTGAGCAGCAAGCCAGAGAGCATGGAAATTATGTGATGTTTTTACTGTAGCTCCCTCACATGTGACTTTCATTGAAAATCCAAAACGGAGAGGAGATAAAAAAAGAATAAAATGTGAGAATAGTCAATACTCTTATCTTCTGTGAAGGTTAATACTGTATATAACTGGAAGAGCGGTTAATAAAACCTTATTCTTGCATGAAAAATGAATGAATGCTTTAAGTTGACAGATCAACTGAGTTGATATATAAAATTAAAAAACCATTCTAAATGATCAGAGTTCTTGGTTAGTTTTATTTTTGTATTTAATCTTTTCAGGTATCCAGTGGACAAACATGTATGAAGCTCCACTGAATGGGGAAGACCTAAGTTTTGGCTGGATGTGCTGGGTGATTTTGATTGACTCATTTCTCTACTTTGTACTTGGGTGGTATTTTAATAATGTATTCCCAGGTGTGTAATTACAACACTTCTTATTAGCATACTCTTACCTCTTTCTGTTTTCAGATAACACTAATTTTTTTATCCTAATATGAGTAAAGTGCATCCAAAATGAATATGTTGAATGCAATAAAATGAGTATAATTAACTTTAATAATATTAAAAAAGCAATACAATATTACAGTATTTAAAACTTTGAAGGTGAAAAGCTATAAAATACATGATTATGACAACATGGTTACATGGATACATGGTTACATGGCATGATTATGATTTTTTTTATTCAGTCTGAGCATTGACCTTTTGAGAGTGTAATAGATTCATTCCATTCTGCGGAAATAACAGAGTGATTCACCAATACAACATCCATAACAGGACATTCACCTCCCTCCCCTAAAACTAGAATTATTTGAAATGCTTGCCAGAACTCTGTAGTTTGTGCTGAAATAGTATGTGAAGCCTGAAATTTAATTTGTCAGAAATAATTAAGAGAAGAAATGCAAACATTTAGTATTCAGATACTTCCTCTGGTGTCCCATTTTGTGAAATTTTAAAATGTTGAATTTTATTTCTGCAATTTAAGATTTTATTCAAAACTTGAATAAATGATTTTATTCAAAACCTGAATGCTCAAACGGAAGACTTCTAAGAGTAAGATGTTACATTTAATGTCAGCAAAAAATAAAGACTGAAAATTGAAATGTATCAATTACATTATTTGGTTAAAGCACCTTTAACAGCAATAACAGTGTTTTTTGTAAATCTCTAACAATGTAGCACACCTGCTTGGTGCAATTTTTGCTCATTCTTCTTGGCAAATTAGCTTAAGCTCTCTGAACCTGCTTGGGGATCATTTCTGCACAGTAGTTCCACAGTTTCTCAATAGGGATCAAATCAGGATAGTGTACGTAGCTTTGGCCTTTAGATTTGGATCATTCACCTGCTTAAAGGTGAATTTTCATCCCAGTTTTAGGTCATTAATAGAGCCTTATGTTGTATAATTCATGTGATTGGATTGAAAAATGATTAATGTAATAATGGAAATGCTTTTAAGACCATGAAAGAAGGCACTTTATGCACAGTGTTTAAGTATGGAACAAACTACCGAGCTGATTTTGAAGGTGATACTCTGGCTTCTTACAGGAAAAGGCTGGATGAGATCCTTTGATCAATTAGCTACTATATTATCTACCAAACTACTGTGAATAGATGAGCTTAATTGGACCCTCTCATTTGTACCTATTATTACATTCCATGTACCTCTAAAATATATACATTTTTAATGAACATATGCTCACTTTATCTGCTATCACATTAACTCTTTTTCTAGAGGTTAATTTATTAATTTAATACCCAATTGCATTTTTTATTATACATATTCCTATTTCAATTAATATGTTTCTGTTAAGTACAGGTTTACTTGGCTTTTTGTAGAAATCCTACCACATTGTCCCGCAGGTGGCTGTGTTTCTAGTGTATGGTTCTGAATGATCTGAGCTATAATAGTCAACTAGCACTCCTAGTAAATTAGCACTCCTTTTTTGTGATGCAAATGACAAAATACGGACATGTTAATGTATGGATATTGTTTAAACCTGATATCTTAATAGTGTTTGTTTTAAATAGGGTAGTATAGAGACAAGAAACCATGGTATTTTATTTTTAATGCTTCATTTTGGAGAAAGCCACTTGAAGGAGCTGACATAATTAAAGAGAAGTATCTGACCTCAAATATTTCACTCTACAATAGGCAATTTCATGACCAAGGTAATTATGCTTTTGTTATTAGATATTTTTTAAGATTCTTTAGATTTAACATTTATGTGGATCTTGATGTGATATCCAATACTATTTCATAATTCTTTTCCTTTCTAGAAATACACTGTACACTGTAGATATTGACATGAAATTCTTGCCTTTTGACAGTATTACAAGTATTAAAACTTACATCTAAAACTGTGTTCATATCTTCATCCATTACTTCTTGTGCAGTGACCATGGAAGACGAGGTCCCAGGAAATGGGACAGATTTGGCAGATTTAAGTCCTGGAGTTGTTCTTACAGTAGGTCACTGACCAAGGAATTTACAGGTTTTGGAGGACATGGGGTCAGAGATCTGAATCTTACCTTCTACAGGGGAAACGTTACCTCTATGTTGGGGCCCAATGGAGCAGGCAAGACCACAACTATGTGAGTTCTACACTGGTGCCAGGGAATTATTCATAAAGCTGTAGTACACAAGAAAATTAATAGTACCCTAAACAAAGGAAGATAAGCTTGAATAATGAAAACTCCAATACAGTACAAAAAAAAGTTTGTGAACCAGTAATACAGTATATTTATGTGAATTACAATTTCTTACCATGATGCCATTGTATAATCTAAACCAGTCTTTTTTCAGATAAACAAAATAGTTTATATTTACTAATTCAATGACAGAATGGTGTATAAAGTAGAAAAAATGTGATATTGAATGAGGTGGTTAAATAATTGGGTAAAAAGTAAACAAGAAATGTTTGAGCAGTACCTTTGTGCTCCACTCTTCAGCATACAGTGCTGGTTAGTGGAAAAATACCAGAAAAACAGAGGGCCTCAGAGTAGTCGATGTTCATCAGTCTGGAGAGGATTACAAAACAATTTCTTAACATTTTTTAGCTCCATCCATCCATTGCCAAGCTTTACACTCTACAAATGGAACATGTTTAAGATGTCATTGACTTTACCCAGGAAAAAGCATCCTACTGAGACATACCAAAGGGTATATCAGAAATCCTCCAGGAAGTTACAAAGCACCCCAAAACGGGGGTTCTCTTACAGCTGTTAATGTCTGTGTTCATGCCTCAATCATCCTGAGAGGTCTAAACAGGAATGGATTTTATCTGAGCATAGCCGGACAAATCTGTTGCTCTTTAAAAAAGAAGAACCTCATTCAAACTGTCAAGCATTGTGGTGAAAGTAGGGCTGCTTTGCTGCTTCACAACCTGGACTGCTTGTAGTCATTGATAAAACCATTTATATGGTGTTGTATGAACAAATTCTGGAGGAGAATATCAGGTGATCCATTTTTATAGTTGAGCTGAAAGAAGGTTAAGACAATAATCTTAAATATACAAATAGAACTATAAAAGAATGGCTGCAGAACAATACATTTTCTATTTTGGATTGGCCAAATCAATGTCCAGACCTAAACACCATTGAAACATTATAGTAGGACCTGAAGTAGAACAGTTGATGCAAGGAAACCCTTAAATATTACCGACCTGAAGCAGGTGTGTGAGCATGAATGGGCTAAAAACCCATAAAAGCTGATGCAAGAAAATGACAAACAGACACAGGGATCATTTAGGTGAAGTATAACTAAACTCTGAAGCTACTCAGGGGTGGTGTAAACAGTTAATAAATGTAAGGGTTCAAATACTGATCCACACAGGGATATTTAGTAAGACTTTCACAAATATCTAATTACATTAGTCTAAAATATACAAGAATACAGAGCAATGTGGTTCATGGACTTTCCTCAACACTGTAGCTGTTAAATTTTCAATATTTTGCAACAGTCTGTTAGGTTATCGACCAGGACAAGATTAGTGACCAGTTTATTGACTTTGGGAAAGATTTGCCAACATCATGCACAAAGGCATTAAATTTCCTTAGTGTTTCCTTTGAACGCTTTTCAAGAGCACATCAACCATGGCCTGGATTCACTCTCTTATTGAGATGCAGACCACCAGCAGGTGTGGTAGTTGGAATGTGCCACATAATCCTGCCTGTGATTTGTAGCTTTTATGAGAAAGATTAATGAACACAGTAATGTGAAGTCAGGCACCAGAACATTAAATTTGTTGTTTTAATCAGACGCAAATCCGAAAAAACACACACAAAGTAAATCAATTCTGTTATAAAACCCCACGAAAATGTCCCCCTGTCAGATTGAATTAAAACCAAACATTCATTATTTTACACATTTTACAGTAGTTTCTGTAGTTCAATACTTGTTATTTTTCTCTCTCAGCTCCCTGGTGACTTGCCTACTGCAGCCCTCCTCAGGCACAGTGTTTGTGAATGGGAGAAGTACACATCAGGATCTGCTTGCAGTGAGAAGGGAGCTAGGAGTATGCCTGCAGGAAGATGTGCTGTTCCACTGTCTCACGGTCAGGGAGCACCTCCTGCTGTATGGGTCTATCAAAGCCCCTCACTGGGGGAGGAGACAGCTCACTCAGAAAGTCAGTAGGTAAGGTATACTGCAAAACTAAACTCCACATGTACTGCAAATGTATATTGTTCCTCCAATATGACAGGAAGTCCAGAAATAAAATTTAAATTAAAAAAATCAGACGTTATTTATAAATAATGGAACAAGTAATAGGTTTATTCTGTGCTGAAAAGAGAAGAAAGAAAACACAATGTTTCGGTGGTGGAGCCTTCTTTGGGTGTGAACTTTTTTTATACTTGCCATGGTTTGCTGACACCTGTAAAAGCCTTGGCCACATATTTTATTTTACAGAGCCCTTGATGATGCTGGGTTGAGAGAACATGAACATAAAAAGGTGGTAGCATTGTCTGGGGGAACAAAGAGAAAGCTTTCAATTGCCATTGCTTTTATTGGTGACCGCAACACCATTATTTTGGATGAGCATACGAGTGGGGAAGATCCTTGTTCATGAAGAAGTATCTGGAACACAGAAATACAGAACAAGTAAGTCATTTTTCTGCACTCTTATTATTAAGATTTTACTTTTTTGCCCCTGAAAGAATCCCTATTATATCTGAACATACTGTATATACACAGCATTCAGCACTAACTGCAAGGCTATTACTTATGTATTACTGTCTGAATAGTTTTTTTTTTAGTGTTGCAACTCTGTGTAATTGTCTGGATTCAGTGCACTGTATACTTAATGGATTGACAGTATATAAAGATAAATTTGCTGAAATCTGCCAGGCATTCCCTAACAAAGATGGAATTCAGACATCACTAATCAGGGTGAGAATACCTAAGCTAAAGAGGTGTCCATTGCTAAGACTTCTTTACTGACAGTCTACACCCAAACAATGCATAAAGCAATTTTCTGGCTTTTGCCACCACTCCAATGCCAAGATACTTGTACTTGACTCCATGAGGCTCCTCAAGGAAACAAATTCCTTGCAGCAACCAAAGTGCAAGGTAGACCCAATAGGAGTTTCTGTGACACTTCTACTATGTGGACTGGTAGCTGGCAGAAGCTCTAAACAGGATAAACAGGATGTATCCAGAAAGAACTGCCCTAGCATGTCCAACAACACTTATTGCCTTGCAACCAACAAGGATTGTATCATGTCCACTGAGTTAATGTGTCAGGAAGGCAGGAGCTTAAGTGTGGTTTAGAATACTCATCTTTAATTTCACTTTCAAACTAAATTTTGTAACAGCAATGTCAGTAATGAGCAAAGTTCCAGCTGAGCTAGACTGAAGAGACGACATTCGGGTAGTCAAGTAGACGTACTGTACAACCTGGAGGGTTAAAATGGGGATGCACCTACTTGGGGAAATCTGAGGGAGGAGACAGAACATTTCTCCCATATATGAATCATATGCAGCACTTGTGTTGTTCCAGGATGATTACATTAAAGAAGGCCACCAGGGGATATCCTCTTGACCTGACTGGTGCACCAGTTGCCACCAGTGGTGAGCAATGGTCTGAATATTTGATTAGACTGATAATATGATCTAAGTTGTGCGGTCCACTGAATTCAAACACTGTTTTGAATTTAATACTAACATCAAGGAGGTTTAGTATTGCTTTTTCAATGATACAAGGGTCTTACTTAAAGCTGAGGATGTGTGTACCTCGACTCATCTCCTCAGAAAAGTCTTATCAGAAAATCATCAAAGTATTGAACCTCTAAAACATAAACCATTGACAAGCATTGACAAGATCTGGATACTGTGGAGCCTCCCTCACCCTGGAACACAAAGCCCTGCAAAATTACACCTGGAACACATAGCCCTGCAAAATGTGTCCTGCTATGAATGAAGAGAAAGAGAGAACAATATAACACAGAAAATGGAAACTATACATCATATAACAGTATCTAAACTCTACAAATGACAACTTGCAGTCTGTTCTACCTTGGATCTCATCTGTCAAACAAATCAAGATTTTTAAACTCATAATGAATGAAGGAACTATGCTTGTATATCAAAAGATGTTCAACAACATGTGCCTCTTCTTTAACCTTTACCACAATAACAGAAACAGACAGGGGTATTTTGCTTATTTATAATTTATTTGCCTGCACCTTACAGTATATGTGTTATTGTACAACTCAGTATTATAATTTGGATAGTACCATGCTCTAGGGTACACCAGCAATGTTTCTCCTGTGACTTAAACCCACAACTTTCCAATTAAAAGTCCAATACCCTAACCACTGCTCCACAGAGCTGCCATTGCTTGTGGTGGGATGTTGGGATATGGGATGATATACATAAACTATATTTTTGTGCTTTAACATTTTCATTTTTGCTACACTAAATGGAGTGCTACTCACATGGTATATCATAATAAAAACGTATAAGAACACCTAACAAATTACTAAATGAGGTCTATGAAGTATCTGCTTCCTGAAAGTTTGTACATATGTACAGTATATAATTTATATCATTTACAGAGTCTACTTTTATGTCCTGCCATTTGTGAGCAGATTGAAGAAGTTCAGAACTGGCATCTGAAAATATATACTGTAAGATTCTTTTTCAGTATCCAAGACTTTCCAGAGTCCAAAACTAGAGATCCAGGCAACATATTGAATGGTGTAACAAATACTACTGTATTTGTCTTTATCACATGTACAGTAGTTGCAGGGCCAGGTTGAGTTAAGGCCATATTTGTCCCAGTACAAAAGGCTCAATATGTGTGGATGGCAGAGGTGTACATGAAAATGGTTGCAAGCACAGAATGATTTCTGAAAAGCTGGTAAAGTTAGTGCTTATAACAGATGAGTAATGATTTGGAGACAAAGACACCAATTATCAGCTAACTGACTCTAACTCTGAGTCATGAAGCACCATCTAACAGGGTGAACAGACTGCCAGGCAAGAAATACAAGCAAACAACTGTATGAGCCGCAATGTCTTGAATCAATGTGTTTATTTGTTGCCTTGTTATCATTTTTTATGTAAGGTTGGGCTTTCGTGTTTTACATGAAAGACACATCAATCATACAGTATGTTATTGGGCTAATAATAACTAGTCACTTTTATTAATATTATAGCTTTTTTGTAGAACAGGAAGTGATTGTTTGGAAGGTCTGAAGCTTTTCTGGTTCAAATTTGTGCTATCTTCCAAAAAGAGTTTGAGGCCATGGTATTGTGGCAGGAACACCTTGTGTTTTGCCATTCCATTGCTTGAAAAGACATTTTCTTTACACTGCTTTCTCAGTCATTTGGCTATATGTGGAAAATAAGATATTTTATTGGAATTTGCACTTAGAATTAGTTGCTAAAAATGCAGGATGCTAGGGGATAGTTCTATGTAGACACCAGTGTATCTTAGGCAAAGGAGCTTCTGATGAGAAAAATACTGCTTTGTGACACAGCAATGGCAAAGAAAAGATCTGCCAGCAGTGGTTTTGTCCATAAAACTGAAGAAAGGTCAAATAATAAGATGGAGTGGTGGACATACAGTATAATGATTCTCTTCTGAAAGGACAAACATGATATTCTGACGTTAACAACTCTGCATCTAGTCTACATAACTCCAACGCTTCATTTAACCAGACAAGGAGAACAACACCTGAATCCTGATTTTCGTACAATGACATGCTATGCATTTAGAGAAGTCACTGAAGTGTTACAGGAAGGAGATGATCCATCTTTTGGACTTGCATATGACAAAACTGTGTGCAAACAGCTACCAGAAACTTCGAATGTAGTGGGCAAGTGTTCCAATTAATATGTATAATCTGTGCAATAAGTAAGGGATACATACTTATACAAAACATTAACATTATATCACACTCTTTTTGTTATGATGTTTTGCAATAATTCATGCCAATACTAACTCACAAATTAAGCACCCGACTCTTCAGAACCTATAGTGGGAATTTAATATATTACTTCTAAGATTTGCTGCATCTTCTTATTCTTAATATAAGCTAAATATAAACACTTATTTTGAATGAAACCAAAACATTTGCACTTGAATAAAACCTTATGTGGCCTATGGCAAATAAATATTGTTAAAGAGTGGGCTTCAGTTACTATGCTTACAGCTGTTATGGTCTTGACCCTGTTAAACACTACTATTTTCCTCCATGTCCAGTATTCTTATTTGGCATTTAAGAAAGAGGCTATTATTCTAGCAGCATTTATTTACAATGTCAAACACCAGTCTGAAGAAAAATAAACAGAACATTGCAGAAAACTAATGAGCACTGAATTAAAAGAAAATTTCAGATGGAATACCATTCTTTAAACAATGAAGATCTATAAATATGCATTTCTGCATGAAGCACCAAGAAATACTAATGAAATGCATTGTTATTAATCATGCATAATGATGGTCTATTAGTTATGTTGCATAAACCATAAACACAAAGAGAACTGCATGAATTTCCTTCTGCTACTTAGCATACTTGGAGCTGAAATATGATTCAGTAATCAAACAATTCTGTTGTAATCAGACTTGAAGAAACTGTACCAGTAATGTGCAGTATTTCCTTCAATCCAATTCTTTTGCCTTCACCTAAAAATCTAAAATCAAATCCGGAGTAATAAACCTTAACCTCTACAGGATTCTAGTTTTATCATTATACATGTGTATTGTTAATATTAAATTAAGCCATAACCCACATCCCAAGCAAACTGTATACTAAAGATATACCTTATACAAATACTATACCTTTTTCTAATCATATCATAAATCATAAACCTATTCACAATTTTAGCCCTGCAAGCAAAACCATCTGCTCCTAACCTACATGTATATCCCTAACAGTAACCTTAACTCTGCACCCCCCCAAATGCTGTAGATATAATACAAACTCGAATTCCATATCTCTAATCCTAATGCTTATCAATCTAAAATTAACCCAAACCATAAGTGCTAATTCACGCTCCTTAAAATTAATAATTTAACAATAACCACTTGCATTTAACAAGAACATGTCTTACCCCAAAAATTAATAACAGCAACATCAAAAACAGCAATACAGTGCATTTTATTTTTAAAAAGTAATAATCTAATCTCGTAGATCTTTACAATTCATAAAGAGCGCATAAAAATAAAATTAAGGACAATAACAGAGCACAGAAAATAAAAGAAAATTCCTTAACCCTTCTTAGTTCTATCCTTAACTCTAACACAGCTTCAATACCTATTGTACTGTACTGTTTTGGTAGAAAACTATTAAACATATCATGAACTTTCTTTAATATGTCAGGCTGTATACTGTATACTGTATTACAGTATAGCAAGAATCATATAAAATGTCAGTATCCACTGAACAGTACATAAAAAACATTTGCTGTTCATCAACTGTAGATCTTCAGATTTTGAAGATTTTGGTGATATTGATGGAGAACCATTTTTCTATGCAATTGCTATCACATTACAATTTTATAATTAAATTGAAAAGAAGAGGCCCAACATAAAGAAAAAAAAATATCAGGGCTAGAACCTTCCTGAAGTAATATTTCAATCCAATTAACTGGCATCTTTTTCTTCAGATCCATATGTAGAGTAGATTAGTTTATTGCTAAAGTATATGTACATTGGAATCCTTATTTGTGCTGATCTCTCAGGTCATACACAGTACAGCAGATGACACAGTACAACTACCTAAATACACTACCTAAGAAGTAAATTTATGAAATTCATTCATAACTGAATGTATTTCAGACATATCAGCTGTTGTCATGGGAAATTAGTTAAAGAGAAAGTGCATATCAGTGAGCTTCTCTATAGCACTAAATGTGTTTGCATATGATTATAATGCAATCAGTTTTTTCTTGAGGCTTGATGTACTGTAACTTCTAATCAATGTGTTTTTATAGCATAGTAAGGCTGAATCTGCAATAGCTCCCATATTACCTTTATCTTAACAATGCACATATTCAAAATGACATTTATTTCTTGGAAGGCCACTAGAGATTTTTTTTTTTAAATCTAAATATGACATGATTTTTCCTTTAGGATTAGGAAAAGAGAAATGCTTATATACTATAATCTGTCCATGATGCAGCAAATTGTGACAGTTAAGGTAATAACATTAATAAAATATGTGTTGGTTACAGAAAACATAATAATGCAAAACATACCACTGAAATGTTTGAAATTCACAAAATTGTCTTTTTCCAATTTATAATTTACTGATTTATCATTTTTTACTTTCATTTTTATTTTGTATTGGCTTCCCATTAGGGAAAGGTGTACTTTTTTATTTCAAAAAGAGCTCTTAACCAAAGAAACATCGCTTCTACTGTCACAATGTACATGCACATTACCTTTGTCAGTTTAGAAAATTGAATATGACATGGCAGCTCTTTGGCTTCTTCTGATTTACACTTATAAGTGGAATGCTTTGAAATTCTTGCTGCACATTTGTATCAATTATGTTGGACTGTGACAGGAAGAACACATGAATATCTCACTCAAAGACATTTCTTTTGAATTGTGAAGACATTTTTGTATGTCATAAAAGTGGACAATTGGAAATCCAAAATTCATTCAAAAACTGTCCAAATTGTCTATAATTATAGTACTGAACTGATAAAAGCATTCAAAATGAGTGTTGTAATAAATGTCCAATTATGCATTACTTTCCAGAAATATGGACTATCAATCCAGTTAACACAATTGCATTGATGTTCTGTACAAGTATTTATTCTGAAGTCTGTTTATAAACATAAAGAAACATCCTTTATGTAAAAAGGTTAAAAGTTTGTTGTAAATGGTGAAATATGAAATATTTATCAAAGTGATCAAATACGTTTGAAAGCCTGTTTTACAAAAATTTTAACAAACTTAAATAAGCAAAGTACTAAGGTTTACATCTTGTAAGACCATAACATTTAAGACCATAACAAGTCCTGTGCATATACTCCTTAATGATGATTAGCTACTGTATGTCCTTTGAAGGTTATTTTGTGGCTGGAAAAAAATTGGCTTCTTAACATCCTACATTATGCTGGGTAGTGTAGAGAAAATGATTCAAAATGGTGGTCCAAAAAATGATTTCAAAAAGAAGGGTATTGAACAAAGCTAAAGAAAAGCTGTTTAATTCCTTCCACAGGAAATACTATTATCCTCACCACACACCATCTGGATGAGGCAGAGATCATCAGTGATCGGATTGCCATCCTGGAACAAGGGATACTCAAGTGCTGGGGCTCCCCTGCCTACTTGAAGCAAGTCTACAGCCCAGGCTACAGCCTAACTCTCATAACAACAGTAAGCCAAACACGAACAAAAATAATCTTATGGATTGCTCATTATTATTACAATGATTCTTGATAATTTTATATTACATGCTTGAAAACATGAACAAAATACAAGTGTTTTTTTTAGGGAAAGATAAAGATAATCCTAATCCTGCTTGTGTAAGGATATTTCCTTGCTTTCTGCCTTATGCTTCCGACAAACTGAAACACATTCATCTGGATGAATTTTCTAAATTTAGCATATCTGCTAAACACAGATGAGAAACCTGACAAATTTCAGTTTTTATACAGTGTACAAGTTCAATGAACAGCATTTCTTGAAACGCTCCTCAGGCATGGCATTTGGTAATTTCTCATGGGCTCATTGACTAAAAAAAACTTAAAACAATCACACATACTGTTGAAAAGATAATCTTTTGTATTTTTTTAACTTCTGCAGTTTTGATTTGCCAGTTTATCTCTTGTTGTTATGTTTGCTTCTTGTTCTTGAAATTGTAATTCTTATGCTTTAGGAAGTACATCAATTTTATTGGCAAACAACTATTCACATGGTTGCCACCTTGTCCCTTGCTTCCAGAGTCATAAATTAATTGAGGAGAGTTTTCTGAAATGTCACTCAAATCAATTAAATAAAATGTACTGTATATTTATTTTTAGAAGTGTGGAGCCATTGAATAGTGTCTTAATATCATCTATTTGATTTGTGGAAATGGTCAGAGGAAGAGTCTGTGTGGGTTTGTTGACAGGAAATTAAAAGAATAACTTCAAAATTTCACAAAGAAACAAGAAAGGTTAATTCCATGCTGAAAAACAGAAAGTAGAAACTGAACGTTTTGGTTGTTTATCCTTCTTTAGGTATAATATTTTTATATTACTACAAAATGAAATACTCAAGTGTATACAGTACCTTATGAATTTGAGGCATGTCAGGAATGGCATGTGAGTTCTTTATGTACTGCTGTTCAGTCTGGTGTAAGAGTAATAAAATAAAAGTAAAATCTTGATGGACAGGATAAAAAAATATCTATTTAAAACAATTTCACAACTACAAAACACAAAATATTACACTATAATAATGTTAGAATGGCCATTTCTTTATGATATGTTCGGATAAGCCTTCTATTTATTCCTATTCTATTTATTTTACCCCCTTAATGTAGACACCCTTGCTTTGTTTCTAAATGTATTATATTTCTGAACAGTTACAGTATATTATAGTAGCTTTTGTCTGGTAATATCAAGGTCTGATATTGTTCAGCTTTTTGTATTCAGGTTTCTGATCCTGCAGTATTTTTTCTGTTCTTTTTTACAGTAAATAATTTCAGTTATGCACAATAATTAAGTAAAGGCATCAAGAATATATTAATTTTAATATTGTAAGTACAGTAGCTGATTATTTCACAATTAAGGCCATATATGGAAAATCTCAATATGTGCTTTCATAGATATTTTATTAATTGCTTTAGCCATGATCTCATTATGGTTATATGTTACTTTTTTAATTAATTAAGCTATGAACAAAAGTTTTGAGATTTGGAATACTAAAATACTAAAAATTTCATTGTGGATCAATAATACAAGAAGAATACACATTAAACTAAACAACAACATTGAGATTATTTTATTTCCTTTTCAGAACAGTCTACCTGGACGTGGGGGCTCCTGTGTTGAACAGATTGTTACATCTCTAATAAAAAGACAGATACCAGATGCTTTCCTAAAAGACAGTTTTGGTGGTGAATTAACTTACATCATTCCAGCCACACTAGATAACAGCCAATACAAGAGACTCTTCCAAAATCTGGATGCAAATATGGAAAACCTACATCTCCATGGTTATGGGATTTCAGCTGGCACGCTTGAAGAGGTAATTGTGCAAACACATGAATTTGTTTCAACATTCAGGAAACAAAAATAAATGCGCAAGGTGTTACTGTTTTTCCAATTCAAGTACATAATTGCATGTAGAATTCAACTCACTAACCATACCTTTTGGTTCAATGCGTGATATTAACAGAATATATTACAACACTGAAGACTACCTTCATATTTCACTTAATTGACAGTTCTATGGGGCCACAAGAGGGGCATCCTATCTACAGTACATGAGCTTTGCATCCTTAACTTTGTTTTTTAATCATCTGACGTGATACAAATAATGCAGTAGTTGTTTTAAATACTGCTTACAAATCCCAGATGAAAGGGACTTAATGTGGGAAATACATATTGATGAGTCAGAACATCAATCTGATCAGAAGCTCCGCTGGGTTCATCCTGTAGTACATCTTGAGCATCTGAATCTGGTAATCCCATTAATAAATTAATCCTGTTTTGTAAAAATAAATCCATGTATCTGTTTTGTTTAGTTACTGTGAACAATATTTCAACTTTGTACTTCTTTCATGTTTTATGAAAGAAGGACAACATACTACAGGATATTAAGATGGGTAATGAGCACGAGTTTCTCTTTACTGTTGTTTCATCTAGCCACTTTTTACGTGCATTGAAATAGAAAAGTTAACTTTCAACAACAAAAAACAAAGGGTGGTAATTTCTATAAATGCCATTACTGTTCTAGTATATATTTTTCTTAAAATATTTGTGAAAAAATAATTTCCAATAACAATCCACATTCAGCTGCTCGGGATAATATCTATATATACTAGCATAAAGGATAAAATTGTGATATCATGATAGTGAGGCCCTGCTTTCTAACATTGATTTTTTAGCCAAATATCCAGATGTTAAGAAAAGAATTAAGAAAAAAGACTTCTGGGTCACTCAAATGTTTCTGTACCCATCTCCAAACTAGTTGTTTCTTAGTCACAGTACGAATGATTAATGATAGAATGTAATTTATCACAGTAATTCCCCATGCCATGCCCACTAAATTGCCATGTTAAATTGTCTGTTCAAAAAACACTGAACTTTTAACCTGCTTTCATTCAATAATGTATTGCCTTTCAATAAAATATTCAGTGCTGTTTATTAATCATAATTAGTTCAGACAGGAAAATACTATGAAACATATTTGTTTCAATAATAAACACTCCCCTATTTGGATACTCCAGATAATAAAATCACTGGTAAGATTGTCATGTTTGAATCCTGGAAACAGAAGGGAATCACATGTTTAAAATACCTTCTATGGAGGCACTATATTACTAGTTGAAAAATTACATTATTCATGCCAGATAGTGCTTTCCTTCAGTATCCTTTACTGATGGGGATCCTAAAGATGTTAGTAAGAGAGACACTACCTTTGTTACCATTTCCTAAGTTAACAGGCTGGAGAAAATTATAGGAAACAGGGATATCACATCTAAGATCTATTCATTACTCTTCTCCCTGGATGAAAAGATTTAAGGTAAATACTGTACCAAAGGATAAATAGGAAAGGGATTGAAGTTCTCAGCATGGAGTTTTTATGTTCTACTCATATTTGTGTGGGTTTTCTCTTGGTGAAAACACATTTCCTTAGTCTAAATACATACAGTATGTGCAGGTTGCTGGATGCTAGGAAACTTGGCACTGGTGTGAGTGCATTTACGTCTGTGTGTGTTTCTTGCAATGGACCATTGCATTCTTGGATAGCCTCCAGCTGCCTCCCCCCAACCCTGAATTAGATACAGCAGCTTCTCTGTAGGTATTGTTTTGTGCATGTTATTAAAAACAGAAAGTAACTGATAAAAGTGAATTTTTAGCTACAGTTATATTACATTGTGTTAAATTCAGTATAATTCAAAGTAATCTTATACATTTTTGTTAAGAAAAATTAAGATTACAAAAGTCATTTACATTTACTTGATAATTCCAACAGTCTTAAGAACAATTTCAGATTTTTTAGAAACAGAATATTCCACATAGTTTAAAATTAAACCTTTCTAGCCTTGTATTATAAAAAGTTAAACGTTGACAGTGCTAAGAAAAGATGCCTTCTTTTAAACAAGCATAATGATTAGGAATAGGCAGTAAGAAATTCCTATAAAACTGTTGGATGCAATGGTAGATACATTAAAAAAGGAAGAAAGCACAAAATAAAAATAAATTGTATCAATTCCAAATCTATTTGATAATTTTGGAAAGTTATCAAATTATTTCATCTAGAATTTTGTTTAATTTCAGTCTTGTGAAAAATAGTGCAAGTGAGTAAGCAAGAAGAGTTATATTTGTATGTACTGTTGGTAGATTGAGCAACATTGAGCTTGAATCACTTCATAAACTTTTATTTACATTCCATATGGGCTAGATGGGCAGAGTGGCCTCTTCTTTATAACCCTCTCTATGTTACTGTGATTTTCAGCATTTTATAAAAAAATATTTATACTTTATTTATAGTAAGGCCTTACATTGGACATATTATGATGACTGTTTCTCTTCATTAAGATAATGTAAAAGTACAATTAAATATTGTGAAGAGATTTGAAGTCACTGATTGGCTCAAATACTGTAAACTGCCTTCGAACACTAGTTTGTCTACATTACAATATGTGTGCTGTTTTGGTGTGTTTCAGTGTACTTTAAAAGTGGTTTCTTACTTTTAAAATTATATCTATGTCTACATTTACATACTTCTACCTTTTATATTAATGTACAATAGCAGAATATACTGTAATTTTCAATTACAAAATATTCATATACTGTACAACATCAGCCACCGACCACTAGACTTCCTGGCAGTCTGGTGGATTATTTGGTCAGTTTTGAGATGGCCCTAGCACTGAGATTAGCCTTTTATTTTTAAAGTGATTCACTAGACAATAAAACCAATTCTCTCTTTTGTTCTACAGCTTCTGATTTTTATTTCCTTATATTTGTTTTATATGATTTTGACCATTTGGTTTACACTTTGAATGATTGGAAATGACTAGCCTTTCTCCTGATTTAGCTTCTTTTAATGTAGCTCTGTCTGGAGTGTATGCATTGTTAATTATAAATAAATGAGAGAAAGCTTTTTTAAATAGTGATGCTGAACAAACTGCTGTGCTGTTTGTTTAATGCAAATATTAGTTCTAACAATGAATGTTTGTGTTGAACTTTATAATTCATTGAAAACAAATGGCACAAATTACAGTATTTTCCAAGCCCAAGCCGAGATAATATAATTGACCAGCAATGTGAACGGGATGATGCAATAATTCACTGTGGTTACTAAAGCATTAGTTAATATTTCCCGTATAAGAAATATAACTGGAACAGTGCTGGTGTGTTTTCCAAGTAATGATATTTATCATCATTATTAGAGAGCCAGCCAAGACATTTTTGGGAAATTTTGGCATGCCACATAGTTAGACAAAATCTGAGGAATTTTATTCTGAGAAAATTATTCGCTGAACATTGTAGTCTGAAACTTGGTGGGCTGTGTTATGCCAAATAAATCGATATTTATTGCACTATATCATGGTGGCACAGAACTCGACAGAGACCTACACTGAATGAAGCTGATACTGTATGTCGCACTACTTAATCACATTATGTTCTCCCAATGTACCTGTATTTTTCCCAATTGTGTTGTTTTTTTTCCATGTTTAAATCTTGTAATTTTTAATGTGGTGTACAGCTTTAAATAGTGTCCATGATTTTTTTCTAATAACCTATACAAGAAACATTGATATGTTTGACTAATGGTAATGCAAATTTGGTGTATTTAGACTAAGACATTCTAGACTATCCCTATCCTACACTATTCAAAACAAATTGCTGTTTAGAAAACATTAACTTTTAACCAAATTTCAGCCGTGCTTAATATGTATAGATTTCCAGGTGTTGTGACACTTATATATCTCAGAGTGTTGTGGGTTCATGAATAATAACATATCCTGTATATATTATATTCCACAGCTGAATGGCTACATAATTTGGTAGCCTTATAAGACCTTTGACCTGGTATTCTTAAAAATAAACTATATACAGTAGTTCCAAATCCTTATAGTATGTGCTTTTGCAAAAACTACCTTTTCTATGACCACCAACCTTTCTTAAAGGGCACATACAAAATCTCTTTACAACATGCTCATATGACCACTGTTATAATGGAGCCCATATACTGTAGGAAGCCCTAACGTTCTATCATAAAAATGACCCTTAATCTCTTTTGTTGTAACAACAAAGAAATACATCAGTTTGGGCACTGACAAGCTCTGCTTGCAGCTATATTTTTAAATATCAAATCACATTTGCTGAATCTGAGGTATAGTATTACTAAAATGTACAGTAGCTACTTTCTAATAACACTTGTCTAGAGATGAAATTTACTAGAAATAATGAACATATGGTAAAGATGTCCGTCCATCCATTTTCTAACCGCTTTATCTGATACAAGGTTGCAGGGGATCTAGAGCCTATCCCAAAAAGCAATGGGTGTAAAACAGAATACACCCTGGACAGAAAGTCAGTTCACCGCAGGGCACACACAGACATAATCACGCACACACTCACACCAGGACCAATTTTCATAGAAGCCAATTGACATACCATGTACAATATGTTCCTTGGGTTGCGGGAGGAAACCAGAGCACCTGGAAGAAGCCCATGCGAACACAGGGACAACATACAAACTGCACACAGATAGCAAGAGAACAAGTGAAAGAGCTCTTCATAAGACTTCTCTTTTTGCAGAGAAAGTGTTAGGCCTAATTCTGTTCTATGTAGGTCTCTCTCTGAGTTACCATCAGTTACTATAAGTTACCTACAGTATAGCTGAGGTCCTTTGAGATCAAGGCAACACTTTTAAGTAAAAAAAAATCAGACTGTGATTGGTCATTTTATCAAGTGCAATGTTCATCATCACCCTGTAGATTCTATATTGATGGATTGTCCTAGCCCTGACAGTGGGTAATTGACTGTGACCTATAACCAAGGCCCTATGTCCAAATGTATCTCATTCTTTAATTGTATACAAAGAGCTCAAACATAGAAAGTTAATTACTGGGGATGTCAAAATCGACCCTATACATGATGTCCAAGTTTATGTAAATATCCCAGTGCATCCTGCTTATTGGGTACCCTTCTTATTAGCATTCCTAAAAAAATGACTCACTTGAGCTTTTCTGCTCCATGTTCATAGCAACAGAAAGATGATTATTAAAAACTGTCTGAACACTTAATTCTAAGCATATGAAAGTCATAGTCATAAAGTGCAGAATACATCACATAGAGGTAAGATGGCTGCTGCTATGTTATAATAGCTTAGAATAAGAAACTAGTTCCAGTGTTTATCCCTAAGTGCATATTACAGATTTGACAAAAGCCGAGAGGACTGACATTTGGCTATTGATATTAATCAGTCTTTAATCATCTCCATTTGAATCACAAGTCTAAAACTGCACGCTGAGTGGGTACTATTACTGGTTGAGCCACTCAGAAGCAGCTGCATCAGCTTCACCTCCAATTATCAGTTTGTAGCTGTGGTAGTATACTTCTAAGTGCTGTGTTGTTAGTAGAATCCTTTCTGATTTAACAAATACAACAGTTCCCTAAGAGTTCCCTGACTGCACAATTAAGCTATATGTGCTCCAGAAGAAGATATTTGGCATAGCCTTAAGCAATTAGTCTCATTGTGTTCTTGGAGGTTTCAGAACTTCATAGCCCAGGAATGTGTTAATAAAGTTGTGTCATGCTCACTTCTTGGTGGGCTTAATATCTGGTGTTTTTCTTCCAACTTGAGTAATCAATAAAATAATGAACTTAATAATTTTCTTAGACAAATACAGAATGCTACCTAAGATACTGTATTTTACATTTGATTACTCAAAACACCTCAGTAAAAGTGACTTATTATAGACCCATTGTTTCAAGTACTACACTTACAGTATGCTGTTTATTAAATAATTAGACCCACTATGTAACCGAGGTCAGAACAAAACACAGAGGATACCATGCCCTTTGGGAACATTGGGAGGTTAACACCCCTGTGTTAATGGAATGCTGGCCACATTACAGTTCGATTCAAGGCTCATTTATGAATGCATGAAAATATGGTCCACTCTGTTGGCTGAATTGAATGTGCAAATATACCACTGTGTATCACACTGTGATTGATTTTCTTTTTTATGTTGCCTGCCATGGTATATACTTAATACAACAAAAGTACAGTTTTTTTTTTGCATTAAATATATTATATATTATAATAGTGTATTTGCAAAAAATATGTTTCTTACATTTATTTATTGACACTAAGCATTTATTTGACTGCATTTGCCTTATATAAGCCACTCATTAAATAAAATCAATAGTGCATGAGTTTCCATGTTGACTTGGCACATATATGGCACATTAGAAATAATAGTCACTATGATTTAAGGATTTCTTAATGTGTCAGTGTCACTGAAGAATTATGCTTTAATTTTTTAAACTAGGATTGTTCCTTTACCAGCTGTATGGTATATTCAGATTCCAGTATCTTAAGCATTATTGGCAAATACTTTTAACTTTGGCATTTTCCATCATATTAACATTTCCTTCCACTGACAACAGTATTACCACTTTTGTTATAAACACATTGAAACTGTTATAGCATATTTGTACAGTATATTATATCAGGTGGGTAGCTGCGTCAGCATGCGTAGGCTGCAAAGGAACAAGTAATAGGTTTATTCCATGCTGAAAAAAAGAAGAAAGAACACAACGTTTCGGCCGTGGAGCCTTCTTCAGGTGTATATTATATTATATTTCTATATAGTATATTATATTTCTGATTATACTGTGTATTAGAATTCTAAACAGCAGACAATAAAACTTTGTGATATTATATAGGTTTTATTGTAACTCAAAAGGTTTTCAGGTAAAGAAAACATTAACAGTTTACTTCAATCCATATGAAAATACAGTACAAGTTTAAATTTAAGCTTCATTTAAAGAAGCAAAAAGTGGGCATGCCATGTTTTGAATCGCACTCCACACTCACTGTCCAGCATCCAGCATGTGTTTATTTTTATTTTATATTATATTGCCTGTGATAAAATTAGTTTACACTGATTTTAACGTGTTTTCAGGGTCTTAGATTGAGCAGTCATTAGCTGAAAAGTTGCTGAATGCAATCATAGGTGATAACTCAGATGTAGAGGATTTGTCAGATGGTGAAGATGTTGAGCCAGGTGATTATGACAATTCAACTGATGATTACTCTCCACCGGATTCACCAGAACCTGAACATCAGAACAGTGATGACAGTGACAATGAGCCGAGACCCAGTGGGCATGCCCGCGGGCGTGGTGAATGTTGGGTATGCAGTGCGTTCACTCCTGACTTAGTTCATTTTCTGGCTGGAGATGACACCTCTGTTGATTGACTTGATTGGCAGCCACTGGACTATGTTGAACAGTACATTGGTTGATGAAACTCTTATTGTATGAATGCTATGTCACTGGCTATGACTGGCATATGTCTCAACACTACAGTTGCTGAGATTTATCATTTTTTCGGTACGCCTATTTTGATGTCATGTGTGCCATATCCACAAATTAGAATGTTCTGGTCCTCTTCTAGAGGGCCCTCCAACCCTTTTGTATTTTAGTTTCATTATTACATTCACCTGTCCCTTGTTCCCTGTTTATTATTTAAACCCCGTGCCTCCAAAGCTCAGTGCTGTGCTTTGGAAGATGGCACCCGAAGGCCTGCCTACCATCATGTCACCCCATGCCCGCAGCTTGAGGGCATAGGCTTCAGAACAGCCTCCTGAATAGCTGAGTTCTGGGCTCGGAGCCTCGTTAACCTGTTTGTAACTTCCTTGTTCCTGTTCCTGTCCCTTATCACGTTCCTGGTTTTAACTGTTTGTCTTGGATGGATCTCCCGGCACCTGGACCCTAGACTGCACCCTAGTTTTCCATTTGGACTTCCCACATTTGGAATCATTTGCTTACGCTCCCCCCCTGTACCTGGATCACTGTCGGCACTGCCTTCTGTTCATCATCCTGTCCACTCCTCACCGTGTTTTCACTATTGTCCTTCTCCAGTCTCTTCTGGATTAAACCTACTTCATAGGGTCCTAAACTATGCACTTCACGGGAGTGACCTTATCACTAGTAACAGATTCTTCAAATTGAGAAAGTGAACACAACTGTTTCGTACTAGTTATTAGGCAAGACTTTTTAGGGACCGACTGTAGAATTATTGTTTTGAATGATGACATCAGTTTTGTTTGCACTGAAAGTTTCTAACTTTTTTCATACTGATTGCAGTTTTGAATGATAACATCATCATTTTTTGTTTGCATTGGAAGTTTCTAACTTTGCATACCGATTGTAGTTCTGCATGCTGACAGTTTTTGTTTGCACTGCAAGGTTCTTACACTGAAAATGACAGTGTGATGCACACTGGTCACCTTCTTGTGATGTGCAGTAAGGTAATTTTAAAATGTTACCCCGCTGTCCTCATATGAAAAATAAACCCAGTGTCCTCATATGAGGACATCGTTTATTTCACAAACTACTTTCTGTTTCAAGACATTGCTTAGTTTTCATAGTTATCAGGTGCTAGCAGTTACAAAAAGCAAGGAGAAATTAAAAATGCTCAGAACAATATGGTCAGGATCTCAGGGCCTTTTAAAGATTTCATTTTCTTTATTTCAATTGTATTTCAAAGCTCTTCTTCTTGTTTTTCTCTAGGCAATAATTTAAGTTATACTTCTGCCCCCTTAAACATTGGAAATCAAACTTTTTTAATTTCATTAAATCATTAAATGCTGGTATGTGTAAATCCTTTCACCAAAAAGAGATTTCTAGTACTTCCTAGTCAACATTTGCTGTTAATATTTTATAAGATGCCTTGATGTGAACATAATGTTGGGTTAACCTCTAATAAAAACTGTCTCAGGTATAAAATAATGGACATTTGTTTCTGTGAGACTAATGTTCCACAGACTGTTCCAATGTCTGCACTGTTCAGGCATTAATATACAGTAGGCCATTTTTCCCACTATCATTATTTTACAGCATTACTCAATCAAATGCTCATTCACCAGAGGGGTTTTGCTGTTTTAAAAGTGCTAGCAGGCATGCTTACCATGAGTATATTAAGAAATGTGATATCTAGAAACTGAATAATTCATTTGGTAATAATTGAGAAGAGTCCTTATCTCCCAAAAGGTTTCTTGTGAAAATCTGTGAAATTACATTTTGTTGTAAAAGCATCATTACAGAATCTTTGTACTTCTGCACTTTTCTTATCTAAGATGTTATACTACTGTTTATCCATTTACACTATATCCAGGATTCTAATTGCAAAACTTAATCTTTAAAAAAATGTTTTAAATTCTTCCAAAACATTAAAATATCAATTATTAATTTAAATACACAAACAAATAAAAACTACAGAGCACAAAAGCATATGAGAAGATATAGACAAATGCTTTAAGTTTAACCAGTTTTCTAAAAGTTTATCATATTTTCACATCATTGCACCTACAGTATGGAACATTTAATATTAAGATACATTTGATTATCTTGACAATGGACAGTTCTATTTGTAAATGTCTTTGATAAAAATTAACTCTAGAAAATGCGTGTTAATTTCTATTTCCATAGAGGCACATTTCAAAATGATTAAAAATATATTGAGAGACAATTAAAAGGAAACAAAAGCTATTGGTTCCAAAAATCATTTTCAGAATATATACTATACCACATTTAATTAAGATGAACAATGGTTATATTTACATTTTATGTCAACCATTTAATACTGTAGCATTTACAGGTTCTTTTCAGGACAAAGGACCAGTGGAGACGCAATTAACAAACCAAGCGCTAGCTTTATTCATTAACAACCACACACAGGATATACACGCACATGAGGAGACTGACGGAACAGGTACACATCTTTAGGGTGGTAATTACTTAACAACACGCTATACTTTTATAAGACTTCACAGGGCACTAGAACTACAAGGACATTATTTACACAGGTAGGGGCAGCCGCTGGTCATCGTGCTGACCCTCAGACTCTCCCGGCTACCACTCCCAGCATGCCCAGCGGTACTAATAGCGCCTAGGGACGCTTCCTCCTCACCACCAGGCGAGGGCGTTACAATACTTTGTTAGTACCAAAAATGATGGGTAATCATATCATCCATTACATTTTGTAACTTCTATATTGTATGGGATACAACCAAAAACTCATTTTACAAGGGTATATTTTACATATTGTAACGCCCTCGCCTGGTGGTGAGGAGGAAGCGCCCCTAGGCGCTCGTAGTACCGCTGGGCATGCTGGGAGTGGTAGCCGGGAAGAGTCTGAGGGTCAGCACGATGACCAGCGGCTGACCCTACCTGTGTAAATAATGTCCTAGTAATTCTAGGGCCCTGTGTAGTCCTGTAAAAGTAGAGTGTGTTGTTAGGTAATTACCACCCTAAATGTGTGTACGTGTTCGTCAGTCTCCTCATGTGTGTGTAGATCCTGTGTTGGGTTTTGGTGTGGTTGTAAAATAAAGCCAGTGCTTGGTTAATTGCGTCTCCACTGTTCTTTAGTTCTGAAAAAGAACCTGCAAACGCTACAATATACTGTATGTCCTTTTATCCACAGGCATTTTTGAGTCTTCTCCAGGACACAGACATAAAAGACTGGACTTACTCACCAGATGCAGAAGCTTTTACTGTCGGCAGTGTCACAACAATTAATAATGATGGTAACTACTGTAACTTATAAAGATTTACATTTGCAGTTTGGCTATAGCCATAATTTAGTTTTTATGCCAATAGCCTAAAGATGTTATTTGACACTTGTCTCCTTAAGCAGCAGACTGTATTTTAATACTGCTTCCACTGCAATTAAAAACAAATGTTTTCCTTAGTCTCTAGGCAAGTGTATTTTTCCCCTAATAAATATGAATGTCAATGAATAATTAAAAATGAGAAGTTTCTGAAATGGTAATGGTAATAATCAAATTACAGTTGTACTTTCAGAATACATGTAAAATTGTGTAGTTTTGGTAACATTAATGAACAATCCTAAATTTGCTTTGGAGGTTCAGTGTGTGCCCCATCTTGCAAATACTGTACTTATCTCAAAATGTAATGATTTATCTGGATATATAAATTAGCTTACTGTATATGCAGTTTGGTTTAATACAAGTTTGAGTGATTTTCAAAACTGAAAATATTATCACTCTGCAAACCTGAGAGATAATATCTTATGAAAAAAAGAAAAAAAAACACATGCATCATTTACACTCTCCACTGGCAAACTGTCAAAAAGTACATTTGCAGGCAATGAACTCTGTATTTTAAATTACAGATGCAACCACTCAGAACATGCATAAGAACTCATAGCCGCGTTAGAGGTGTTGCGGCCCACTTCGGTGTAATTCAGCTGTATGATTCACCGGCCAAAGATGATTGAAAGGTGGTGCATTAGGTCAGCAGCTCTCCACCTTTTTGGAAGTGCAACCCCTTTGGACGAGCCACAAAGTGTGCGACGCCCCAGGCAGAAAAAGCACATTGTCAATCATATGAAAAATAAAATGATAGTGGAAAAAAATTACTCACTTAATGAGATGGTTGCACTTGCATAGAAGAAGAGAGAACTTCTAGTAGGGGATTTGTTGGTTGAGGTAAAGACGCAAATCATGTTAGTCCCTGAGATGGGCTCTGTATTTGCTTTAAGTTAACGCTGAAAAGCCAGACTCACAATGATAGGTTGATGCATATAGGATAATTTTTTCAAGAACATGTTACTCTGGCCTTGGTATTCACCGTGCACAGAGATCCAAAAGTCAGGC